ACGTTTGTAGTTGCGGAAACGCAACGTAAATGAACAAGTAACAACAATGTATACACTATACATAAATATATGGATGCATATGAAAAGTGAATAAATCTACGTATACATAAATGAGATAGATTAATAAAAAAAAAAAAAACGATGCAGCGTCTCGTTGTTGTTATTATTACCATTTGTATGAATTCTCTGTGTTTTCTTTCTTTTTTCTTCCTCTTCTTCTTCTTTTCTTTTAATCTTTCTTTTAATCTTTTTAATGTTTCGCGCTGTTCTGCACGGTGAATTTATCGTTTGCTTTATAAAGTTAGAAAAAAATTTTGTAGACTTGTCAAATGTGCTATTGAGATATTTTCTTTCGCAGGTCCTTCTTCCGAACGATCGAATTAGTCTCTACATACTTTCGCGCATTAATAAATAGAACGCTTTCTGTAGTTGATGTGTTTTTTTATTCGATTAAAAATAACAAGACCAAGGCGCATCGGAATCTCGATCGAAAAGTAAAAGATAATACTTTGAGAGATACACGTGCAGAGGTGGGAGAAAATGTTCGCGTCGAAAAAAGAAGATAACGATTTTGATCAATCACGCAAAAGGGAACAAAAGAAGTTGTGGTAAATGTGCGAGACCAGCCATGCAGGTGTATCTTCCTGCGAATCGTACTCTAAACGAGAGGAAATAATATTCAAAGTCGTAATAAAATACATAAGCCAGCCGCTAATACGCAAATCGATAAAATCCGTAACCCTTCGCTGTTGGGAAATCCGGAAAAAAGTTTCGCGAGGCTCGAGTGTCCTCTGAAGTAAAAAAAAAAAAAAGAAGGAAAAAAATATACTTTATAAAAATGGCGAATTTTAAAATAAAAATTGGAAGACCTAATTGCAGTTAAAACCCGCGTATAACGCTTTACGCGCAAATTTGTTTCTTGAACTCTAGAACCACCGAAACGGTCAAAATGGTCAAATGATTTATGACTTTTGTTAGAAATTTTGCGAAACATTTCTAGTGATTTAAATAATTTCTTTTAATATTAAAATGTATAGATAAAAAGCTTGTGTACTTCGTTATATTATAAAGTTATTCTGCTTATTTTACTTGAATATCTCTAATGGAAATTTTATGTTTTAATCGGTCGGTCGTTCTAGTGTTAAAACGAGCTATAAAAATAGGATCAACTCGAAACATTCTAAATACACCTATCATATACTTTCTTTCTAGGCACTTGGTGCTATTAATTTTTTTTCTTTTCTTTTTTTTCAATTATTTCATTCTTCGAAGGTCACCTTTCTCAAGCTTTCTTTTTCTCTATTTTATTTCACGAATATTTGAGAATCTTGCATCACCGCAAATGTTTTTTGTTCACTTACGTATCGACGGAACGTACAAAATGTAATTTATCAATCTGTATACATAATTTTATCGGTACAATTTACCGATCAAATGGCGATACAAAAATCTCGCGTATTCGTGCGATCATTCCCCCGAAACGAAATGTCTCTTTTCTTTTATACATATGTATTTTGTTTTTGTTTTTGTTTTTTTTTTTTTTTTAATTTTAGAGGACCTGAATCGTCGAATCATCCCAGATAATTGCCGACACTTTCAGCCATCTCGTTCATAGGGCTGACGTCCCTCTGAACGTGTTCGTCGAAATTAATGGCCTCCTCCTCCTCGGTAGAAATGTCTGCATTCGTTTCCACAGCGCCCTCTCCGCCCTGGATGGTTTTCTGTTGACTTTCCGACGAAGCTTGGCCTAGAAAAGACAATTTTTCCCCTCCAGCCTGTTATTGATCTAAATTGCAATTGCACGTATCCCACCGATACTTTCGTTCCCTTTGCAATGTCACATTGACACAGAATTTCATGAACTACACTGTATTTTGGAGTGGTATTTTCAACACTAGAACTACTAGAAAATGGTCAAAATGGCCAAATGTCTGTTCAGACATAAAACATTGTGTATTTTTAGAGACTCGAATGATCCTTCGTAAAAGACGAAGTAAATAAAGGCTCGTGTACCCTGAAACAATTGTATCGTAAAGATTTTCTGTTTTCTTTCACTTTAATGCCCGCGGTGGGAATTTTCGGTAGTTCTAGCGTTGTTAACATAAAGATTCAACAACTCGAACACAACAGATACTCTCTGTATACTATCTATCAACCACGAGAATTAGTAATTTTGGGTAACCTTGGCCGAGATCTCGCGCCTTGCCGTGATAAGAGTATTCCCGTGCATTGGCAAGGCCGGCGATAACGCAGGCACTTAACGCACTTCGATTCAGATTCATCGGCGACGCGTCGTACCACTCGTTGCTGTCCGCGTCGTAACATTCCGCGTACGCAATCGTCGTGGAGCCTTTCGAAATAAAATTGCATTTTTTTTTTTTTTTTGTTGTTTTTTCTTTTCTCGTTCATTTGAAGACCTTCGGTCACGATGGGGAAACTAGAATTTCGAATGGAAAACTAGGTCCCTCTGTTTGCGTGTATCAGCAAGGAAGAGAGAATTTTCGTTCTATTCACGAAATTTTATGTTCTACTCTAACGTCTGTTATTATACTGTGTTAGAAACGTTTCAATGCGACGAAAATTCTTGGAGTAAATATACTTGGGGGGTTGTTGAGGTTACCATTGAAACCACCGACGACGAATATCATGTCGTCCAGAATGACCGTGGCGAAATTGCTGCGGGGGCTGAACATCTCCGGAACCGCGTGCCAATCCTCCGAGTTCGGATTGTAACGCTCCCCTGCGAGATCAGAGGGTCGATATATTGCAACGGCGACATTAATTTCTACGCGCAGCGAACATTTCATGAATCTTCAGCAGGGATTCCACACGTGACAAAGCACGTTACTCGACGGCGAATATTCCGGGAATATAAATTATTTATTATATTATTAGTCGCGTCATTCGATTCGTTGTTGGAATAAAATGCAAGAAATCACGGAGGATCCAGCGCAGTCATCTCGAGATTACGAGAATGAGAACGAACTTCCTACCGTTTTCCTAATTATAAAGCTAAAGAATATAATTATAAAATATAATGAATAATAGTTGAAAATATAATTCTACAACCATTGTGAATACACAGTTGAGGCTAAATTTATGTTCACTAAATTACCAATATATTTCGGCTGTTACAATTTCGTAACATCATATAGCAATGAACTTGCAACGCTGCATTCGTTTCTGCACGAAAATATTTTTTTTTTTTTTTTGGCATCGCGCAGCAGTTGAGAAAATGCTATTCCTCGAACATCATCAAATTCAAAGCATTGGAAAATTGTTCTCACAGCAAAAGTTTCCTTGAAATTCAAGCCCATTCACTTTGTGGCAGGCCTTTTATTTTATAAATCGAAGAATTGTAAAATTCGCCTACGTATAGATATATCGAGAGAGAGAGAATCGAGAAAGACTTTATTATCGATCGGAACGGTGAACGATGATACCGAGAATTACCAGAGTTGAGCCTGATGATGCCGTTGAAGCCGCCCAGGGCGTAAAGGCTGTCCCGAAACGCGACCAGAGACACGCCGGACCGTGGATTGATCATCGAGTGGATGTAGGTCCACTGGTTGGACTCGACGTCGAACACCTCCGCGGAATTTAGAACCTCGCGGCCGCTGAAACCGCCGACGATGTATATCTTGTCGTGCAGGGCTGCCGCGCTCGCGTCCGATCTCTGCTGGTGCATCGGCGGTATCATTTCCCATTGATTCTTTTGCGGTTCGTACCTTTCCCCAGAACTCATCCTCGTGCGGCCGTTGTAACCGCCGAGAGCGTATATCTTTCCACCTAACCAAGCAGAATGAGTTCGTGTCGTTCAACGTGCACGTGGTGCATTTTAACACTAGAACCTATTTCTACCAAAAAAAAAAAAAAAAAAAACGTAATAATAGAATATTTATTGGTTTATTACTTTCTTACAATAGAAATACCAAGTCAGTTTGTCGGGTTTATTCGGCAAACATTGAATAAATCTACATCTGGCTTTAGATGGAAAGTGTTGTTTGTCAATGTTTGCACCCAAGTTTGTAGCAACTCTGACTATTTTGAATAAACTTACTCCCACACGGCTGATATCGAAGCGAATTCGTCACTTTGTAAACGTTGACCCTGTCACTTTTCTTTATCAAAGCGAATAAATCTG